GAGGATTTGTTCACTAAATCACAATACTTGTTCCTTTCCACCACCAAATTAATTTTCTGAAATTGTTGATGAGAGAATTGATTATTGTTAAAATGAAAATGAGACTTGTTTTTTCTCAAATAGGGACTTGTTAAAAGAGTATATATATACATGAGGGGTAGTTTTGTCTTTACACAATAAATTTTAATCACGTTAAGGTTACTTGGTCCTGCAGAGCAACAAATGTTATTCAGTTGTCCTTGATTGTGATTTTCCCAATATCTTATTGAGCTAAGTTCTTGGCAATTTTGTGCTCGTGTACGAAAGTCAAACCATATAAGCCAATGTTCAGTCATGATGAAGCTGACCCATTTTTCCCCTGTTAAATTCATTTGCTGTGAGTCTGCCAGATATTAGTTGAAAATTGAAATACGTGTTTCATGCAGATAGTAAATTGGAAATCTCACTTGAAGTTTCCAGAAGAGGCAAGACTATCCCCAGAGGCTAAAGATCTTATTTGTAAACTTTTGTGTAATGTCAATCACAGGCTGGGGTCAAACGGTGCTGATGAAATAAAGGTGTTGTATGGTTTGCTCTATTAGAACATCCTGGATTTGTTCCATTATATGTTTGGATATAGAGGTTACCTTGCTGTTGTATTCCATTTCAGGATCATCCATTCTTCAAAGGTGTTGAATGGGATAAGCTATATCAAATGGAAGCTGCATTTATTCCTGAGGTCAATGATGAATTAGATACTCAAAATTTTGAGAAGTTTGAAGAGGTATTTGGGCCTTTACGGTTATTGCTAGGCATAAATGCTTATCTAATGCCTTTTACCTTTTCCTATCGCTCCTCATTTTCCCTTTCGCATTTGCAGTCAGACATCCAGAATCACCAAGCATCAAGATCTGGGCCTTGGAGAAAGGTAATCTTGGATGCATACTTCTCTGTTGCTGATATGTCTGCAAGTTATCACCATAGTTAACATTTGCATAATCTTCTGTTGACTGATATGGTGATGAAACAGTGCGGTGTTCTTTTCAGTCAGTATAATATATGAAAAGAAAATAAGCATCATTATTTGAATTACTTCCATATGGAAATTAAATACATCTTGGGTGTTGTGAAAATTAACTTCCCCTTGATTTTACATTGCTGTGAGTTGGCTGTTGAGCTAAGTTGAATAAAATTTAACGTCTGGTAGGCAGGGCCATGGTAGCAGGAACAGGAAGCATGCTGCCGGCTGTTGAACTTGTTTGACATTCCCATATCAGAAGTTCTAATTTATTTTTCAATTTTAGACAAAGTATGTCTTCTGAAGTCATTTGGCTAATGTCGAGCTAAACAAACTTTTTCAGGACCATGATAAGGATTATGTCTTAATCGATACCCTTGTAATTCCTGAAATTTGGATTTGCCAGTCATGACACCTTTTCCTGAATTCTTAAGTAATTTTAAGTTATGACTCTGCTAGGATTTTGTATTTGTTGGGCCCAGTGAAATGTAGATGATTAAGTATGTCCCTGCTGCTCCAAGGTTGTTTGGAATTACTCGAGATATAGGATATCACTTTCCTCAATGAAAAATTTAATATTGTTTGCCTTGCTATCATTAGCAGTACAAATGGACTTGCCTTTGTCAAGTGCAGTCGTTGGTTATATTCTTCATTAGCCGGTGCCAATGAACGTTTCATTTAGGCAATATATCATGTTATATGGTTGTTGATCTTCTCTTGTTTGATCTTCTAGTTCTTCGTCTGTTGCCGCTGATCAGGGCTACACATTTTTTTCACTTTCATGTTGTCTCTTTTAATGGGTGATTTTACAGATGCTCTCGTCTAAGGACTTAAATTTTGTTGGGTACACATATAAGAATTTCGAAATTGTCAATGACTATCAAGTTCCTGGGATGGGTATGTCACTTTTTCTTTAACACCTCTGCATATTAATTTATAATGTTTTATGCAACGCTCTATATTGAAACCTTCAATCATGATCAAGTATATTGTTTTACCAAATACTCGGATCAGGATTAAGGTTCAATAATGGAAATTATAGCCCATGTCATGGATGCCATTTTTTTTTTAGGATACATTATTTTCCTTTAATGCAATAATGGATATTGAATATCATTAAACACATGCATGCACAAAATAGTTCTCGATATAATTTTTTTCCTCTTACCTTGCAGCCGAATTGAAGAAGAAATCCTCCAAATCAAAGAGGCCGACTATCAAGTCACTTTTTGGTATGCTTTCAAAACTTTCTGACCTTTCTTTTTTATTTAAAAAGATCGATATATTTGGTTGCTCGCTCCTGTATACTTTTCTGTTTCTCATCTGATCAAAATGGGGTTGAGACAGTTGGTGAATCAGAAACATCAGAGGTGTCTGCTTCTTCAGATGCACCTGCAGGCAATCAATCTGCTCAAGGGAGCTTTCTAAACCTCTTGCCACCCCGTTTAGAGGTAACTAATAAAGACAGAGAAACCTCCTGACAGGGCAAAACTTGTGACATATCCAGTCTGACAGCATAGGAGCCATAACTCATGCCAACAGCGTTAACTTTTTCAATGTTCAATTTATTATTCTTAACGTTATTCGATGCTTGGATACGTTCTTGGCTACAATAATGGTTACTTGGTACTTGATTGCTTGCTTGAGCAAAGGCATGAAGAAAGTTATGTGCCCTAACTATGGAGGTGTAAACCTCTTACTGCATTATGTCGGTACGAGAAACACTGTAAACGGATATACTCTGTAAATTTGTACGTTAGTGATAGCCAATTATTTGTATCACTTTCTATCTTGCAACGTGTAATATATCCTAGGGTTTTGTTACGATGTGACTTATCAATCGTAATTAAACTTGTTATGTTAAATTACATAAAAATGTAAATATCGCACCATCTAAGAGTACTATAAAATATAGTATAACTGAACCGAACAGTTTTTAAATTTTGCATTGCACATCATTCTTGAACGTTGATTCTGAGAGGTTGGTCAAGTAAACCTAATCCAAACTGGAAGCATTCTTTTAATATCGAGTCCCTTTGTCGTTTTGGTTGGTCGTTCATCTCGCTTACCTTGATCTTTGATTGTGACTCAATCTAAAAAACTTTGGTGCTACTTCAAAACCTTGCCGCTGTTAGACGAATTCGAGATCCGCAACGAGGAGAATATGATCTTATTAAGCTGATTGACGACAAAGTCGTAACTTTTTAAAAAGACAATGTTGTGAGATTTTCAAATGTCTTAGGTCATCATAATCCTATGGCATTAGCATCTATCTATTGAACAGTATGATTGCCGAGACTTTTGATCGCTTCACCCGGGCACCTTTAGAAATTTTGTCAAAAGCTCCTGAATTTTGTTCACAATATGAGCTCTTTAGGTGTTCCATTTTTTTTGAGATTAAACTTTTTGTATGTATGAATTAATTACGTGTAATATACTACAAGTATTCTGTTATATTATCGATCATCTTGATATATGACTAGATAATTACAACTGCATCTTGTAATGCTGTAATGACAAGTAGTGCACTTTTTTTTTTCTGGGCTTGCGAAAAGAATATATGAAAGGAAAAATTAATTGATTCATCCTTATAGTATTACTGATCAGTCTTTATACTTTGAAATCACACAAACTATAATGATGAATAAATAAAAAAGATGACATTGGAGATTCCTAAAATTTAGGTCCAATTTTATTTGATTAGTTCAAATATCAGGGTCTATTTTCATCATATCCTTCATTATTATGTTCTCCTCATAACTTGAGGTGCGCTAGTAATGAATGATTTGTGGGGACATATTTGAGTGAATTCAATATTATAATTATATTTAATTGATTGCGTGTTCTACTCTGCTACCCCCTCCCACTATTTTTTTTGGTCTGGGTCTCTCGCATTTCACTTTTTCATAATAGTTATGATTATGATTGTAATTATATAACTTGATCGACTATTAAGATAATCACCTCTTTCAGTCATTCCTACTAAATATAAAAGAAGACGCTTCAAATTACATATTAGAATATATTATCACGTGAGGTTCATATTAGAATATCATTGTGTTAAGCAGCTCACGGGACCATTTTGTTTATGAATGTATTTGATTGATACCAGTAAACATAACGAATGTACGGGTATCAAATTTCATGGAGAGAAAATCATGTTGAATGTTATGGCCACATATGGGTGTGAAGAGTGAGATGTACAGTGAATGGAATCAACTCAAGTTCACATGAGTAACAGTGGTTGGGATTCAAATTTTTTCTATGGAAGAACAAATTTGATTGCCTTAAAATAATTTAACCCTTATATATATATATATATATATAACAATTTAAATGGGAGGGATCTATCATCTACCTTAAAAAAATTCAAATCTACTTCTTGTACTAAAACAGTGAATGGTTTAAATTTGACTGTTTTTTTTTTTTTAACATTCTAAGAGTATTTTCATAGACATCAAATCTGGACTTTCACCACAAAGGCGATGGTACATACATCTGCAGTGAAGATGAAGGGATGAAGAATGCAGTGGGGAAAAAAAGCCAGTGGATGGAACAAGATTGATAATATTTAACTCTAATATCGGTCAGCAATATCATACAGTAGATTTTTTTTCCCCCAAAAAAATAGTTGTGTCAAATCCTCATATGTTAAACAATACATAAATCCGAGATCGCATCGATAAGACGACCAGGTATCGAAAGAGACAGAAGCATGAATCGAGCACTTCTTGATCACGTATAAAATACAAAGAAGCAGATGACAAGAATGGAAAACAAAATACCAGAACAAACAGATTGACTTGAACAAAGTAAGGAAAAAGCAAGAGAGGGGAGGGGAGGGGGAAAAAGAAAAAGAAGAAGAAAGAAAAGCAAAAGAGAATAAAAAGGTAAAGAGATAAAGATTAAAGAGAGTCCCTTCGCAGCACATCGCATCGTGGGCAGCACCCAAGGAGGCTCAAGTGCTAAATGCTAACTAACTCATCGCCAGTCTTCAGTTTAAGGGAAAACAAAAATCTGTAAGTTTTTTTTATTTAAGGGTAATTTAAAGCTGTTAATTAATATCGGCGCAGAGAACGGAGCTAAAAAAAAAAAAAGAATTTTGTTATGTTTACGAAAGAACGGGAATTTTATTATTTTTTCGGGCAAGGAAAGAATGAAATAGCGATTACTATATAGATTTCACGTCGTACAGTTTTTCCATTGTCATCTTTCTCTCTCATTTACATCAGTTTCCGCCGTCCATCATCCAGCTTTTGTTTTGCGGAACTACTCTTGTTTCTTCATGCCTCGTCCCATCCAGCGCATGCTCCTGGATCTCCTCCGTTGTTACTATTTTTATTTTATGTTGTAAAAGTTTCTTTCAATTGTTCCTGGTAATGTTCGCGTCATATTTTATCTGGTCAACTCGTTCCTGTTTTCTGGAAATTAGGGCTTCTATCGGCAATTGATTCGGTTTAGTTGTGGTAAATGGATGTCACTGGAGAATTTGGTTTGGCCTTCTGAATAAAGACTTCGTCTTCATTCCTGGGGATGCTATAAATTGTTTCGCATTGGTTTTCTCCTATCTGGATTTACGTCATACGCAATTTTACGATCAATTGGATCACCGTATTGGGAAGTTTTATTAGAATCGGGTTGATTATTGAAGAAAGCGAATCATTTGATTTGTCGGGCCCTTTTAACTGGTGAGTCGGCGGAGGAACACGGTGTATTTTTGGTCTTTATGCCATTTTGAACATCTAGATAAAAACCTGGGCGAACATCTGAGTAGAACAACTTATTACAGTTGGTGCTTGGCGGCGTACTGAAGGTCTTGTTCATAATGGATCATGTGATTGCTGGCAAGTTCAAACTGGGAAGGAAAATTGGGAGTGGGTCTTTTGGAGAGCTTTATTTAGGTAAATGCGAGTACTTTTTCACTGACAGCATCTCTTGCGATGTTATGTTTCTATAAACACGCTAATCCTTCTCTTATTTCTCATGTTAGGTGTTAACGTTCAAACTGGAGAGGAGGTGGCTGTTAAGCTGGTATGTTATCTTTTCTTGATAACCCCCATTCTGTGTTCGGTAGGGTTAAAACGGTTTAAAAATTGAATCTATTGTGACGTTTTGCTATGTCAAATGATTGCTTAGAGTTTAGCATGAACAAATCACTTCTTTTTACTTCATCTACAATCTCAATATTAAATGTCGTTACTTAATAATGCCTGCTTTGGATAATTGATGCTCTATCTTTCTATGCAACAGACATTGGCACTTTGGATGGTGACATGCATTGAATTTTTTTTTTTTTTTTTTATAGTTGCTATGGGAGTTCCAATAATCATAAGCAAAACCTGATGTGAGGAATAATTTGTTGACTAAGCAAACAACAAAAGGAACAACATCCATCCTCCTCTCAATGTCAACTTTGTAACAGTAGCTAAAGTTTAGAAGAAATGAATGCTCTCTTTAAGGATTCGAGAATTGTGTGAAATGCTGCCTTTTCTTTTTAGTTCTTTTTGTTTCAATGTGGTTTAGCTTGTTATATCCTTTTTTTTTTGGGGCCGGGGGGGGGGGGGGTTTATAATATCCTTGCCTTTGTTTATTTCTAGAGACATTTGTATACCAGTTAGTGATTAGTGATTCCAATATGCGCATGACATTCTGTGCTAATTTTTAACCAATTTCTTTTGCTCCCTCCCCCTTCTCCAAAAAAAAAAAAAAAATTCAGGAACCTGTGAAGAGCAGGCATCCACAGCTGCAATATGAATCAAAATTATATATGCTTCTTCAAGGAGGAAGTAAGTCTGTGGTGACTTTACCTTTTTAGCTTTTTTGTGTCCAGAGATTCTTTAAGTGTTTACTAATATGAAAGTCTCTTTTGACAATTTTGAATATACAAATGAAATATATAATTCGTTCCTTTGTATTTGGATTCAGGAGTATAGTTATACATATGCCCATTGGTCTAGAATTATACTTCATTATGAACAGAACCATTATTCTTCTCTAAGTCATGCCTACAAAACAAAAACAAAAAAAGTTGCAAAAATAATAAGAAAGAAACAATATTGCTCTTAAGTAATTGGATCTGGCTTTTCTTCAATAAAGCGGGGATTCCTCACCTCAAGTGGTTTGGAGTTGAGGGAGACTACAATGTTATGGTTATTGACCTTCTTGGGCCAAGCTTAGAAGATCTGTTCAACTATTGCAACCGGAAGTTCAGCTTAAAGACAGTGTTGATGCTTGCTGATCAATTAGTAAGTCTACTTGGAAACCATTTTAAGTAAAGTGTCATAGACAGATTTACTAAGTATTCATATTGTTATTATTATTTTCAGATTAACAGGGTTGAATATATGCATTCAAGAGGATTTCTTCATCGTGACATAAAGCCTGACAATTTTTTAATGGGTCTAGGGCGCAAAGCTAACCAGGTAAAGGAGTTATCAACATCAGTAACCCATGCTGAGAGTTGCTTTTCAGCCTCAATGTGGATTTAAAAAAAAAAAAAATTCGACAGGGGAATTACTCTATCAGATATGTATGCTGATCGGGATAACATTAACTTTTGTGTTTGCTTCTGCTAGATTTAATTGTTTTGTTGTGGATAATTTAACTAAAGGATTTCTTGCTCTCCACTGCCTTGCTTTCTTCTCCTCAATCTTAGAAAGAAAAAGAATTCCATTCTTTTGTCAATTAAAGGAGTCAAAACATGATCAGGAGATTCTGATAAGAAAATATTGGGTGAATGCAGGAAATTTAGTTCTTTGTAATTATTTTGATAATATGTTTATCATGGCAGGTTTACATCATTGATTATGGACTTGGAAAGAAGTATAAGGATCTCCAGACTCATAAGCACATACCATACAGGTAAATTTTGTCATGCTCTTTTCTGGACATGCAGATGCCCAGTTTTGGAAGTGCTCAAGTGCAACATATTTAGTCATGCGCATTTGTGTGTGCGTGTGTGTGTATTGAATTGGAATTAACTATGCAGGAATGCAGTTTTCCTCCAGGAAGCAACAATAAATTAGCACACCTATCCTTGTGTTGCCAATTTATTGGTTAAAATTTAAAAAAAAAAAAAAATCTCGGATTTAGGCAGTTACATCATTACTTTAGTAAGATCATTTTGGATTGCTGCAGTTTTATTTGAAATTCATTCTTTTGTGTGACATATCTCCAATCCGGTATTGTAAATACTGTCATGAACACCTTAATCAATAAAAAGTAATTTCTAAAATTTGAACTGAGACCAATATTTGGCTCTGCGTGCTCTGGTTGAATCCTCTTCTATGTAGACCAATATTTGGCTCTGCGTGCTCTGGTTGGATCCTCTTCTATGTTTTATCTCAGTTCCCAACCCAGGCTCATCTCTGTTTGCCATCTTGTGATCAAATGCTTAATAAACATGGATCTTTTACTTCAGTGTTTTTTTTTTCTGGGATTCATTTTACTTAGTTTTGTGTTCTATAATTCTGTGTGCATTTTGCTATTTTCCTTTTCTTTCTATGATTTCCTTCAAAATTGTTATGTAAATTTATGTGTCTTCTATTTGTAGAGAAAAACAAGAACCTGACTGGCACAGCTCGCTATGCAAGTGTCAACACTCATCTTGGAATTGGTGGGCAAATATCTTATGCTAGATTTATTCTTTTTCATACTGACACCCTAATTAATAAAAGTAAATCATTACAAAATTAGACTCACCTGCTTTCAACTGCCTGATTTTATTTTATTTTTCTGGCAGAACAAAGCAGAAGAGATGATCTGGAATCTCTTGGTTATGTGCTCATGTACTTCTTAAGAGGAAGGTTGGATACTTATCAGACCCGTCTTTTTTACCCCATAGTTGCTACATATTATTTTGATGGCATTCTTACTGTCGGTTTTCTATGTTATTTTAGTCTTCCCTGGCAAGGTCTGAAGGCCGGCAATAAAAAACAGAAGTATGATAAGATTAGTGAGAAGAAATCATCAACTCCAATAGAGGTATTATGACTAGTTGGATTAGTATGCTTACCAATTTACTCGTTGAGATGCTTTGGAGAAATTAATATTCCTTCTCGATCTAGTCAGTGATATCTGAAATGAGGTTTTGGCTGCTTGATCTTCTTTAGTGGGATATTATGCATGACACCCGAAGCTGAGAAG